CTACACCTGATAATTAGGGTTCTTCATATTGTGCGGAGATATGTATCTCTGATTTTTAATGCTTGATTTTATTTGTAAAACTTGTCAAAAATGTATTGCAACAGAGAAATCTAAAAAAATGTTCCAACCCCAGGGGCCCAATTCAGACCCAAGGGCCATATGTGGCCCCGTAGTACTTGATGTGTTGCCCCCTGACCCCTGCAGTCAGTAATGGGAGCATTTACTCATTGACTTGTAAAAGGGATTGTCATGGTAGTATTCTCTATCAGTCTCATGTGCTCAGGCTCCGAACACCCATGGAGCATGTCTATTCTCCCTGAATTGTCGTGTAATATGTCTGCAGAGCCTTCTATAGTGTGCAATCTACTAAATATTATATTCAGCACCTTGATAACATTGGGGGCTGCAGTTGGAGGCTCCCTATACTGTGTAAGTAAATCATCACTGCTCTAAAGCCAGCCATACATGGATCAAAATTTGGTCGGTTCAGCAGGGACCAGCCATATTTCAATCCATGTATGGGCACCCTGGTTGTACACAAGTTGATTGACTTGTGTACAACCAGGATGCCCATATATGGATCGAAATTCAGGTGGTCTATCAATCAACGTGTACAAATAGCCTGTTGGGTTATTCCCAAACGATTAGTGCTGGCGGCTACAGCCGGCAACACTAATCATTGTGTTCTGCCAGCAGGGAATAGCGTTGTGGAAGGGATTCCCCTATCAATACTGCGTTGATGGGGAAATAAAGCAATTTCCTCTCCTTCCACCCATGGTGGAAGGAAAGAAAATTGAATAATCTATGGCCTGCCTAACTGTTTTTAGATTGTAAGCTCTAACGAGCAGGGCCCTCTGTTTCCTCTTGTAACAAATTGTATTGTCACTGTTATGTCTACCTTCATTTTGTAAAGCGCTGAGCAAACTGTTGGTGCTATATAAATCCTGTATAATAATAATATAAAAATAATAATAGATGATGCTTTTTGCTTTCCTGCAACTACGGGTGGGGGGACACGGGGAGCTGGCTATAATTGGATGCAAAAATTCGACATGCTGGTTGTACCCAAGTTGTGCAACAATTTAATTGGGTACAATCAGCCCATAGATGGTTTGAATCTAGACGTTCCCTGCTAAACTGGCCGAGATTTAAACCTTCTATGGCTGGTTTAACACTAATAAGTGCTTTTATTGATGGCAGTGTCTTCTTTGGAGACCAGGTGACACCACAAGAATGGAACTCTTCTCATCTGCCTACATGACTTCTGTGTTTATTGCTATGTGGCATTGTGCTATTCATGTGGAGGGTCATGTTATGTCTATGTATTCCAGGGGACCTCACGGAGATATTTGGGAACCTAGGTTCCACCGACGTAGACTCAGGAGAAGAAGAGGTGTTCAACGAGTGGGCAAACAACTTGCGCTCACACAACGGGGACATCATGGACTATGGAGCCCCCCAGAGCTGGAGAGAACCATCTGTTGGAAGGCATGGGGTAGCATCATCATCAGATGACTCCCTCAGGGCAGTGGAGAGGAGGGGAAGGGAAGCGGCATTGGGTTTGTCCAACACATGCTGTAAATGGGGGTGCAGTAAGAGCCAGATTAGCTCGCTGTGTTAAAGAGAGGAGGCAGCGACCATCTTGATGATGCCCATCATGGAGTGAGGGACAGGTCATGTATATTGTGGCACAGGTTGTGATGGGCATGTACAGTGTATGTATTTTTATTCCTGCATGAGTGGACGTGTCAGTAAATTTATTGACAATAAAGTCAAACTATGTACAGTATGTAATCTGTGAAATAAACATTTTCAAACACTTTCAAACTGAATTAGCCGTTTGTTTCAGTGTTTTACTACTTCATAACACATGCACTTCCTACAGACAAAATAATTAGATATTAAGGGCTAGATTTACTAAAACTGGTGCAGTCAGAATCTGGTGCCGCTGTGCATGGTAGCCAATCAGCTTCTAACTTCAGCTAAGCTTTGACAATAAAACCTGGAAGCTGATTGGTTTCTTTAAAGAGCTGCACCAGATCTTGCACTCTCCAGTTTTAGTAAATAACCCATTAAGTACATAGGAGTAGCTTACCAATACAACAAGAGTATATAGTGCATTATCAGGCAGAATGTGTAGTGCACAGGAAAACATAAATCAGGTAGGATGGGGATAGTACAGGAAACCAATTATCAGGTACAATGAGTAGTGTACAGAAGACAATTATCAGGCAGGAGAGAAAATGTACCTGACTTTCCCCAGTTGTGGCATCCTTAAAAAATGTTACTTATTGATGGGAAAGCCTGGGAATTGGGGAACCTTGGAAACTGATCAGACAGGTTGGGTAGTCCAAAGGAAGAAAATGTTCAGACTGGTTGGGTAGTGCACAGGAAGACACCAATCTAATGTTCAGACAGGTTTGGTAGTGTACAGGAAAATAATGATCAGACAGGTTGGGTAGTGCATAGGAAGACAAGGATCAGGTAGGTTGGGAAGTGCACAGGAAGATGAGGCTTAGACTGGCTGAGTATAGCATAGGAAGACAAGGATCAGGAAGGTTGGGTACTGCACAGGAAGACAAGGATCAGGAAGGTTGAGTAGTGCACAGGAAGACAAGGATCAGGAAGGTTGGGTACTGCACAGGAAGACAAGGATCAGGAAGGTTGGGTACTGCACAGGAAGACAAGGACCAGGAAGGTTGAGTAGTGCACAGGAAGACAAGGATCAGGCAGGTTGGGCAGTGCACAGGAAGACTACCATTGGACAGATTGGGTAGTGCACAAGAAGACAATGATCAGGGAGGTTGGGAATTTCACAGGAAGACAATGATCAGACAGGTTGGGTAGTGCACAGTAAGACAACCATCAGATAGGTTGGGTAGTACACAGGAAGGCAACCATCAGACAGGTTGGGTAGTGCACAGGAAGACAACCATCAGACAGGTTGGGTAGTTCACAGGAAGACAACCATCAGACAGGTTGGGTAGTTCACAGGAAGACAACCATCAGACAGGTTGGGTAGTGCACAGGAAGGCAACCATCAGACAGGTTGGGTAGTGCACAGGAAGGCAACCATCAGACAGGTTGGGTAGTGCACAGGAAGGCAACCATCAGACCGGATGGGTAGTGCACAGGAAGACAATAATTAGACAAGTTGGGTAGTGCACAGGAAAACAATGATCAGACAGGTTGGGTAGTGCACAGGAAGACAATGATCAGACAGGTTGGGTAGTGCACAGGAAGACAATGATCAGACAGGTTGGGTAGTGCACAGGAAGACAATGATCAGACAGGTTGGGTAGTGCACAGGAAGACAATGATCAGACAGGTTGGGTAGTGCACAGGAAGACAATGAACGGACAGGTTGGGTAGTGCACAGGAAGACAATGAACGGACAGGTTGGGTAGTGCACAGGAAGACAATGAACGGACAGGTTGGGTAGTGCACAGGAAGACAATGTACGGACAGGTTGGGTAGTGCACAGGAAGACAATGAACGGACAGGTTGGGTAGTGCACAGGAAGACAATGAACGGACAGGTTGGGTAGTGCACAGGAAGACAAGATGAGTAGTGTACAACCAGTTTCTGTATATCAGAGTATGTATCATTTATAACATGGAGCTGATAGAAATCGGTAAAAGGAAATGTCTAGAATCTGTGCTTATCACATCAAGGTCTGTGGTTATCTGATAATGGTTAACCCACCAGCCACGCAGCCATGTGTAAACATGTGAACTCACTCTTCAAGCAGTTAAAATGACCATGGGGACAAAAGAAAAGAGAAAACAAATACAACACATCTAAGGACTATGTTGAAATACAGTATGTTACATTTTCATTCTTGGGTTTAGTTTCACTTTAAGGCCTCATTCACACGCTTTTTTCACACTTTATTGCGCGTTGGTCGTGCCTAGGGCAGTCTATTTACTTGAATGGGATGCCCTACATGTGCCAAATGCGCCAAAGTAGCTTTATCTTTGCAGTGTGCCTTGCATGTTTTTTCCAATGCATTTTGACGTGTTTTTCTAATGTTTTAACTGCTAACCAGTAGCACTGCAGGAAGGGCTGCTGTTACAAACCACAGGGCCCCATACAGTCAAGCTGATACAGCCCCCCCCCTAAAAAAAACAACAGTTTACTATGCTTCAGATGAAAGGAACACAGTGAGTCATCGGTACTGATCACTCATTGTGTTCATTCAGGGAAGGAAGGGGCTGGTAAATGTGACATATGCTGCTGGTGGGAAGCTGGCAGCACTGCGGGGGTGGGGGCACATGGAGGCCTGGGCAACAAGGGCAATTTGGTGCACAGGGAATGTGATAAGTGCACCGGGGGGGGGGGCAATTACTGAAACCCATCCCCTGTATGTCTCTCTCTACAGCAGCTACAGAGAAAGCCATACAGAGGGTCAGTTCCAGTAATTGCCCAACTGTCCCGATTACCCTCCCTGCCCACATCCGATTCACCCAGCTGCCTGGGCCCCCTTGTTGGCTTGGGCCCTGTACAGGAGGCCTGGTGGTACCCCCTTATCCATGGCCCTGACTGCAGGTGCAATTCTTTATTTGGCATGTTTTTGCATGTTTGGGCAGCACAGTGGCTAAATGGTTAGCACTTTCACCTGGCAGTACTGGGGTCATTGGTTTGAATCCCAACCACGGCACCACCTGCCTGGAGTTTGCATGTTCTCCCTGTGACTGTGTGGGTTTCCTCCCACACTCCAAAGATATGCTGGCAGATTTATTGGCTCCTGTCCAAATTGGCCCTAGTATATGTGAGTTAGGGACCTTAGATTGTACGCTCCTTGAGGGTTAGGGACTGATGTGAATGTACAATATATATGTAAAGTGCTGTGTAAATTGACAGCGCTATAGAAGTACCTGAAATAAATGAATACATTTAAAAATGTTTGTGAGAATGTGTGCAGAAACGCATTTTTCCTAAAATGTGAAGGTGTGAATGGGGCCTTAGCGTGTTCTTTTATTAAACCCCGGACCCTGCATTCACTATATCTGGTCTCCCCGGACCCTGCATTCACTATATCTGGTCTCCCAGGACCCTGCATTCACTATATCTGGTCTCCCCGGATCCTGCATTCACTATATCTGGTCTCCCCGGACCCTGCATTCACTATATCTGGTCTCCCCGGACCCTGCATTCACTATATCTGGTCTCCCCAGACCCTGCATTCACTATATCTGCTCTCCCAGACCCTGCATTCACTAAATCTGGTCCCCCCGGACCCTGCATTCACTAAATCTGGTCCCCCCGGACCCTGCATTCACTATATCTGCTCTCCCTGGACCCTGCATTCACTATATCTGCTCTCCCCGGACCCTGCATTCACTATATCTGGTCTCCCAGGACCCTGCATTCACTATATCTGGTCTCCCCAGGACCCCGCATTCACTATATCTGGTCTCCCCGGACCCTGCATTCACTATATCCGGTCTCTCCGGACCCTGCATTCACTATATCTGGTCTCCCCAGGACCCTGCATTCACTATATCTGGTCTCCCCGGACCTTGCATTCACTATATCTGGTCTACCCGGACCTTGCATTCACTATATCTGGTCTCCCCAGGACCCTGCATTCACTATATCCGGTCTCTCCGGACCCTGCATTCACTATATCTGGTCTCCCCAGGACCCTGCATTCACTATATCTGGTCTCCCCAGGACCCTGCATTCACTATATCTGGTCTCCCAGGACCCTGCATTCAGTAGATCTGGTCTCCCCGGACCCTGCATTCACTATATCTGGTCTCCCCGGACCCTGCATTCACTATATCTGGTCTCCCCGGACCCTGCATTCACTATATCTGGTCTCCCACAGTACACAGAACATGGAAATGCAATTATATGAGTAAATGTGAACTAAATACCTTTTCTCATCAGCAGTTATAGCAGTCTTGTGACTTCTATCAGTGTCCGGCAGAGCACTTGGTTAAAACATGTAGGAGGAGTTTTCTTTCTGCTCTAGGAGGATGTAGAACCCCTGACCTCTGTCTGGACAGTGCTGATTGGTCCTGTGCTGTTTACATGCACTCTCCCAAGAAACAAAAAACACCTTTCTAGCAATATACACCAAACTGAGCATGTGCAGAGTGTCTCCACGATATGTCTTATATATCATCAGGAGATAAGAGGGAGACACTGGAAGAAGGGGAGGATCAGAGAAGTCAGGATCAAACAGCCTTTTTACACAATGCAGTGGATTAACCCCTTAGGTTCCACAGTGAGTATAACAAGCATGTTTTACTGCATCTACAGACTGATTGTACTGTTGTGGGTTTAGTAACACATTAAAGCATACACAGTCTGGTCCCAGTTTTCTGAGTGTAACCACACAGATCTGGCCATCCCTGCTGCTGATTCCTGACAAAGTCAGTATCAGCCAGTTTTGGCATCCTAGCGGATGTGTTTTGAATATTACACCTTTCTGTTGAAATGACAAAAGTTCTGTTTAAAAGGGCTCCAACGTCATCTTGGGCCCCAACGCCAGCCGCCAACCGATATATTACTGGCCAGTGGAAGGAGCAGGGGCTGACTGACCATTTGGAAACTCGGGCACTGCCTGAGGGCCCAGGGTCAGTAGGGGGCCCCATGAGATGCCCCTGGTACCTTTTTCATAGGCTTTTTTGAGTTTGGGTAAGGACAAAGGGGCCCCATGATCCCCTATTGCCCGGGGGCCCCATGAGTTGTCAGTCCGCCCCTGAGAAGGAGGTAAGGTAGAGCTGTGATTTTTAGTCCCTGAGCGTATGTATCTTGTATTTAGAAATCCTCAAGAAGTCATAGCCTAGGACAGTGACCTCCAAACTGCAGCTCGGGGGCTCGGATGTGTCCCTTTGCTTGCTTTTTTCTGGCCCCTGGAGCACTATTTTATCCACTATGGATACAATTCCTACCAATGACACCATTGATGGGGCACAGTTCCTCCCAATGACACCATTGATGGGGCACAGTTTCTCCCAATAACACCATTGACGGGGCACAGTTCCTCCCAATGACACCATTGACGAGGCACAGTTCCTCCCAATGACACCATTGACAGGGCACAGTTCCTCCCAATGACACCATTGATGGGGCACAGTTCCTCCCAAAGACACCATTGATGGGGCTTAGTTCCTCCCAATGACACCATTGATGGGGCACAGTTCCTCCCAATGACACCATTGATGGGGCACAGTTCCTCCCAATGACACCATTGACGGGGCACAGTTCCTCCCAATGACACCATTGACGGGGCACAGTTCCTCCCAATGACACCATTGACGGGGCACAGTTCCTCCCAATGACACCATTGACAGGGCACAGTTCCTCCCAATGACACCATTGATGGGGCACAGTTCCTCCCAAAGACACCATTGATGGGGCTTAGTTCCTCCCAATGACACCATTGATGGGGCACAGTTCCTCCCAATGACACCATTGATGGGGCACAGTTCCTCCCAATGACACCATTGACGGGGCACAGTTCCTCCCAATGACACCATTGACGGGGCACAATTCCTCTCACTGACACCAAGGATGGGGCATTTTTTACTCCCACTGATGCCAGGACATTTTCTACTCCCGTGGCCATGGACCGCCCCCACTAAAGACTGACAGACAATAAATTGGCCCTCTGTTTACAACGTTTGGAGACCCCTGGCCTGGGAGGTGCAGACTTTTTCCCTTAAGCCAGGTTTCGGCTACCCTGTAAAACTTTTTTATTACTATCTAGTTTCAAAAATGTTATTGATGCCACTATTTGCCATTGTTTGCCACTTCTAGTAGTTGCCCCGCAGGGTGTGCTACCCAAATAAACATCTTTTCCTCCAGCTTGGATGCCTCAGTGAGTGAAGTATTGCCTGAAAGGACGTTATCACTAGGAACAGGGGTCCCAGACATCAGTGGCTTCTCCAGGGGGGGGAGCCGTGCAAAGTTTTGGCTGCGATCACAGTACAGTTGCTGTTTAATATTCGTTTTTTGAAGTTTTTTGCAGTTTTCTGCGATCTGTCACGGAAAAGGAACACATTTACCACTACGGCATTAACACAACAGGACAAAAGTGTACTTCCTCTGTTCATGCGGCAGTATCACATCTCACATTTCGTGTTGTTTCCTTTGTTGGTATATTATATCACTTGACAAAGTGCTGGCACGCAAAAAGACTTCATTAACCCCTTTATGGCCGTGTGCTCTGCATCCGTCTGAAGGCTTGTAATATCAGCCATTGCATTACCTTGCTGTGTGCTGGGGGGAAGCACTCTAGACCGGGGGTCTCCAAACTTTTTAAACTAGGGGTTGGCATTGGGAGGTATTGTGCCCCATTATTGGTGTCATTGGGAGGCTTTGTGCCCCATCGTTGGTGTCATTGGGAGGTATTGTGCCCCATCGTTGGTGTCATTGGAAGGTATTGTGCCCCATCGTTGGTGTCATTGGGAGGTATTGTGCCCCATCGTTGGTGTCATTGGGAAGAACTATGCCACATCATTTATGTCATTAGTAGGAATTGTGCCTCATTGTTGGTGTCATTAGGAAGACCGGGGTCTCCAAACTTTTTAAACAAAAGGCCAGTCATTGGGAGGTATTGTGCCCCATCATTGGTGTCATTGGGAGGTATTGTGCCCTATCGTTGGTGTCATTGGGAGGAACTATGCCACATCATTTATGTCATTAGTAGGAATTGTGCTTCATTGTTGGTGTCATTAGGAAGACCAGGGGTCTCCAAACAAAAGGCAGTTTACTGTCCTTCAGTCTTTAGGGGGGCCGGACTGTGGCCAATGGGAATACAAAATATCCCAGCATCAGTGGGAGTAAACAATCCCCTATCATTGTGTGACAGTGGGAGGAACTGTGCCTCACCATTGGTGTCATTGGAAGGTATTGTTCCCCGGTGTTGGTGTCATTGGGAGGTATTGTGCCCCATCGTTGGTGTCACTGGGCCCCAATTGTTAGTGTCATTTGGAGGAACTATGCCACATCATTTATGTCATCAGTAGGAATTGTGCCTCATTGTTGGTGTCATTAGGAAGACCAGTGGTCTACAAACATTTTAAACAAAGGGCCAGTTTACTGTCCTTCAGTTTGTAGGGGGGCCGGACTGTGGCCAATGGGAATACAAAATATCCCAGCATCAGTGGGAGTAAACAATCCCCTATCATTGTGTGACAGTGGGAGGAACTGTGCCTCGCTATTGGTGTCATTGGGAGGTATTGTGTCCCATCATTGGTGTCATTGGAAGGTATTGTGCCCAATCGTTGGTGTCATTGGGAGGTATTGTGTCCCATCATTGGTGTCATTGGAAGGTATTGTGCCCAATCGTTGGTGTCATTGGGAGGTATTGTGCCCCATTGTTGGTGTCGCTGGGCCCTAATTATTGGTGTCATTGGGAGGAACTATGTCACATCATTTATGTGATTAGTAGGAATTTTGCCTCATTGTTGCAGGGGTCTCCAAACTTTTTAAACAAAGGGCCAGTTTACTGTCCTTCAGGCTTTAGATGGGCTGGACTGTGGCCAATGGGAATACAAAATATCCCAGCATTAGTAGGAGTAAACAATCCCCTATCATTGTGTGACAGTGGGAGGAACTGTGCCTCACCATCAGTGTCATTGGAAGGTATTGTGCCCCCTCATTGGTGTCATTGGGAGGTGTTGTGCCCCATCATTGGTGTCATTGGAAGGTATTGTGCCCCATCATTGGTGTCATTGGGAGGTATTTTGCCCCATCATGGATGTCATTGGAAGGTATTGTGCCCAATCATTGGTGCCATTGGGAGATATTGTGCCCCATCATTGGTGTCATTGGGAGGTATTGTGCCCCATCATTGGTGTAATTGGGAGGTATTGTGCCCCATCATTGGTGTCATTGGGAGGTATTGTGCCCCATTGTTGGTGTCATTGGGAGGAACTATGCCACATCATTTATGTCATTAGTAGGAATTGTGCCTCATTGTTGGTGTCATTAGGAAGACCAGGGGTCTCCAAACTTTATAAACAAAGGGGCAGTTTACTGTCCTTCAGTCTTTAGGGGGGGCAGACTGTGGCCAAAGGGAATACAAAATATCCCAGCATTAGTAGGAGTAAACAATCCCCTATCATTGTGTGACAGTTGGAGGAACTGTGCCTCGCCATTGGTGTCATTGGAAGGTATTGTGCCCCATCATTGGTGTCATTGGGAGGTATTGTGCACCATCATTGGTGTCATTGGGAGGTATTGTGCACCATCATTGGTGTCATTGGGAGGAACTATGCCCCATCATTTACGACATTAGTCGGAATTGTGCCTCATTGTTGGTGTCATTAAGAAGAATGATGCCTTTCTATGAAGTCAGTGAATTAAAGAGTGTCCCAAGGGCCAGAGAAAAGCAAGCAAAGGG